ATATAAAAAGAACAAAAGAAATTGAAGAATCTAATGATAGAAAAATGCAGCCTTACTCTTATTCATTTAAGAGAAAATGTGTTATAATAATGATGTAAATACAACTCAGAGGGATGTATCCAAATACGTAACTCAAACACACACAAGCAAACAGACCAAACGTGCGCATATATAAAAGCGCAAAAAATATTGGACAAAGATAAAATAGAAAAGAAAGAAATAAGGTACCAAAATTGCTACACCTGGCTGTACAATAGAAGATATGGCGTGCAAAGAGGCTCTGAAGCAACCTGATCGAGTGATGTCTGATGGGCAAGAGCATCGTCAAATGCCACCCAATCAGAACCGACTCGCGTAACGCAAGTGTAATGGCCACAGCTTAGGCTGAGCCCATGGTGCACGATCATACCCTGAAGGCGGTAGTCACGCCTCACTGTGTCACCTTTAGCTTCACCTTGGGGTCTGCCAGAAGTAGAGGCATGATTGTTTTTAAAGTGACTAGCAGTTTTACACCCCAGACTTGAGCTGAACTGAGTTGAACCAGAAATCTGGAAAGATGAGTCTGTGGACGATAAAAGGGCAGAATATAAGGATGTTTGGGAAGAAGAACAGAATGAAAATGAGGCCGGAGTGGAAGAAGATTCGCTGGGAAGTCGATTAGCGGTGCTCTCAGAAATTAAAGCTACTTGCTCGACGCAGCCAGGGTCAGAGGGGTGATCTGATTTCATCTTTTCCGGCCAATCAGTCAACCCGCTGTCGGCACTAACAGTTACAGAGAGACTCTCGGGGATACGAATTCGACGCATAATCTTCAAGCATCGCTTAGTGGATCGATTGAATGTAAACAAATTAAGACAGATGAGCACATGTGGTGAAAGACGATGGAAAGTGATTCGAAGCTCACGACAAGTATCTTGCCTGCAGGCTTCACAAGCGCTAGCGCCAGTGAGGCGTTCAGGACGAGTAAAATGCCAAGCAAGTAGGGAGCTCAAGTCGTCCTCATCGTGTGCGCTACATCCAGAAGAGTTACTATCGAATGTCTGCAAGTAAAATCATTAAAAGAAATG